ATAGTGTTTTTGAGCCTTTTTTAGACAGGATACGCGTTGAACGACCAATGTACCTGGCACCACAGCAACAGGTGAACTGATATATATACACAAACATAGAAGTGGTCAGAATCGAGATTTTGTCCTTCAAGCCAAAGGCTTAGGGGGGTGGTTCTGCAGGACAATCGCCTGCTTCGGTCAGGGCATCCGGACAGAGTATCCCAACCCCCGCACGTTCTAAGAAATGTTGTGTAGTTCATCTGTTGGTTCACATAAAGTACAACACCAATGCGTATCGATCCTACTTACTGTCATTCGAAATTGTGCATACTAAGCAAAAGGAGCGATTATTCTAATCTTCTCCTCTTCCCTTATTCAGTATAGTTAAAATTGGTATGTGGACTCGTTAGGCTAGTGTGTCATTATTATTATTAGTATTATTGTTCCCTTGGGTTCCTAGTGGAACATAGGGCCTCAAATACACATCTCCACTTGCTTCTGTCTTCTGCTGTACTTTTCACCTGCATCCATGTTAGTCCATACTGTTTCAACTCCTCTTTACACAATCTCCTCCATGTCACCCTTGGACGTCCCACTCGCCGCTCCCCTTTCGGGTTCCACTCGAGCGTTGGCCTGACGCGCGATGTCACCCAACGGCCTCCTCAGCGAGTGTCCAATCCATCTCCCCTTTTTCCTGCATATTTGTTGGGCGATTGGGTTTTCTTTTGTTTGTTCCCAGTTTCTCGTTGGTGATTCTTTCCGGCCATCCGATCTCCAGTATAGAGCGAAGACAGTTGTTGATAAAGCTCTGCAACAGGCTGTTGGAAATATTCGTTGTGACCCGCCAAGTTTCTGATCCGTATAGAAGAACTGACTGACTTGACGTTTGTATTGTAAATCCGAATTTTGTTGTTGATGCTGAATGACGAAGATTTCCAGATTGGTTTCAGGTTGATGAATGTGTTTCTCGCCTTCCTGATTCTCGACTTGACATCCTCGTTCGTCATTATTATTCACCTTATCATACCGCATGTCCGGTTTGCTTTTGTCGAGATCCTAAGAACCAATGGTTACAGATTATTGATGACATTGCTGAAAACTATTCACACTGGTTCAGATCTATTTATTGTTTACGATCATCTAGGTTCATTAAATTCTCATAATTCTTCATGTAATTATTCTTTCCCCTATACATTTCCGTTTAGGTATGCTTTCATGAAGTATGGGAACTCGCATTCCTCCACCCTTATACAAAGTTCTACGCTGTAAAATCAATCGATAATATCGCATCAGCAAAACTAACATCCTAATTATTATTATTGTATTCCATTATGGATAAGAATTTTATTTTGATAAACCACACAGTGTTTGTTGTACAGTAATATTAATACGCAGAATGAAGCCGTCACTAGGTGAGTCTAAATGGCTTAATTTAATGCCTAAAACTAATAATGCTAGTAGAATGTATGGTAGTATTAAAATACATAAGCCAGGTTATCCCATAAGACCAATAGTAGATTTTAGAAATACCCCTACATATGAATTATCAAAACATTTAGCTCTAATATTATGCTCCATTAGAAATCATTCAAACTCTGGACTAACTAATTCATATGAGATGAAAGAGAAACTAAATAACATTCAACTAGAGAATGATGAAACAATGGTTAGTTTTGATATAACTAGTCTTTATACTAATATACCGATCAGTATGGCCTAAGAAGCAGTTAAAAAAGAACTAACTGCAGATCCTGAAGCCACCCACAGGACAAAGCTACTCACTGAGGAAATTATTTAGGAATTCAGTTATGCTGTCTCACATCTACTATCTTTAAATTCCACGGCAAAATATATGTAGACGAACAGAAGGTGTAGCAATGCGATGGATTACCAATATCCCCTATCGTAGCAGATATCTTTGTAGACGGCTGCGAAAATATTGCTCTTAGCACATTTAATCCTACTCCAAAAATATGGTGGGGATATATGGATAACGCTTTCACAGTGTTTGAAACAGAACATATCTCTAGCTTGTTCATACGTGTAAGGTCACTAGTAGAGGGAATAAAATTTACATTTGAATTGGGAAATGAATAAGGAGAATTAGTTACGGTGTTAGATTGTAAAATAAAACGAATAGAAGAAGGTAAACTGCACACTAGCGTTTATACAAAACCAACGCATTCTGGTGATAGATATTTGGACTTTAATTCATCTCATCCTTTAACTGTTAAGGCAGGCTTAGTTAAGCGTTTAACAAACCGAGCAATAAGTAGTACATCAAAAGACCTAAACGATGAAATAAAACAGACAGAAGAAGCGTTGCTTTCAAATAACTATCCTATAAAATTCATTAAGAAAATCAAAATAGGTCAAAAACAAAATAAAAATATTCGTGAAACTAATAATGATAACATAAATAAGAAAGAATATAAGGCATCTAGAGTAGTTTTACCACATAACGAGGGGACATCTGAGACCCTACGTAGGATTCTCAATAAAGCAGGTATTAGGGTGGTAGCATTCAAACCTACAAACTCACTCAGAGACAAGCTCTGTAGGCTGATGCACCCAGTGGACCCAATTAGACAAAATAATATAATTTACGAAATACCTTGAAATGACTGTGACTTAGGTCAACTACATAGGTCAGTCAAATCAGTAGGTCGGTGGTAATCCGATTGTCGGAACATAAGAATTTGTCTAAGGTAAAAATAGTTGACCCCGAGAAGATAAGTAATTCAGAAAAAAGCTCAGCAATTACACTGCATGCGTTAACACACAGCCACACAATAGGGTGGCACACAGTCAAAATTCTAAGAAGTAATATAGGTAGGTTGAGAGAGAGATTGATCACTGAATTCTTGTTCATCGAGTCTTCACCCAACACATGCAACAGAAATGACTCAATGCAAATACCAGAGATAAGCAAGATATTATTACCACCAGTCAGTCAAATCAGAAGAGGATAATAAATAATCTTAAAATTCTATTTCAATCCAAGCACATCACAACATTCTAACAAGTTACTTATTTTGACTATAAAAACACTCGTCTTATTTCCTATCTGATTGTAATTGATCAATAACACTCATATTATTATTCCTGAATGTACATTATCTCATATTGATTTTTATTCAAATGTTTAATCACCAATTTTTACTCATGTATATAAATGAAGTAAGAAAGTTGTATGAGTAGTGTCTTGATATGATTATGAGTAGCAATAATTTGTGCTCGAAACGTCATCAGTTAATATTAGGGTATAACATTGTGTGATCTATCAAAATAAAATCTTATCCATAAAGGAGTTACACTATACCACGTTGCCCAAGTTTCATACTTATATGAATAATTATTGTATTGTATCTCCCGTGTGAAGTGGTATAATAGGGTGAGTAATATTGAGGTTAGGCATTGAGTGTTAGTGAGGTGAGGAGGGGAAATCAATCGACAAGGTTGTGAAGTTACACCCATTGAGATGGTCAGGACATGTGTTATGCATACAACCCTAGCCATCCATCGCCTTCCTCGAGTGACGGGCAATGTTAGCTGTCATAGGGTCAGGTTGGAAAAGAGCTAGTGGTGGTCAAACCAAAACATCGCTTCATCAGTCAATGAAATCCACAACAGTTAGTTTAAGCTAGTCAAGTAGGAAGATGAAGACCTCCTGACTGGTTGAGGTCCTCGGGACGGTTAAAGCCAATGACTGGAAACAATCAGTGATATGGCTGGCTCATATCTCTGTTTACTGTCTCTATTTTGCATTTCCTTTTACTTCTCTTGCTTTGTGTGGTGAGTGAACTGCTGCACATCTGTGCAAAGTTTTATGTTGAAACCAGTCAGTCAATTATTGTATTAAGGTTATTCTTAATAGCTGAAACCTCTGACAGTCTTTCCCATCCTGACTGGTTTCGACATTCAGATCCGTTCGAACTGCATGCAGTTGAAAGGATGTTGCCGACGTAAGTGAAGGAAGTGACTTCTTTCAAATTTTTCCTGTTGATAGTGACTGGTGCTTGTTGCCATCGTTGTTGGCTGGTTACCTTCATCACTTCCATCTTCTTCTGAATGTTCACTTGAAGTTGTATCTTTGCTGCCTGATTCTACTTTTTCTACCAACTCGTTTGTATGATATTAGACATAAACCCTTCGTGAGGTCCAAATCCTACAGTCTTCTTGTCGATCCAACGTATTTCTGGCTTTTCTCTCCCTACGCAGTCGCGCGCATAATCCAGTCCACCACAATTAGGGATGGCATCGTGGGTGATAGCTGGCAGGCAGCCACATTGTCTCTTACTCCTGTCTTCTCTTCAAAGCTATCGCGTTGAGTTTTATGTTGTGGAGGAATAGGAAATGATGCTCAGGAAGGCTTCGTGTACTCTTGGAAGCGTGTGAGCGGTTGTTACTTCCCGGCTGCCCACACTGTGGAAGTTGATTGGTTCTTCGGGTTAGTGTTGCGTGACCGCAGAGCCCAGGGGACAACTGCTTGAGGCCAGCCGGTCACACACGGCCTGTATGAACTGGTTTCTCGGTTTGCTTCCGTATTAGTAAACTTACCGTCGGTTACGGACCACCGTAGGGTAAGTCGGGATATCCAATTGTTGGGGTCAACCTTTGCTAAGTGGAGAGACAGCATAGCTGGCTGGCATGCTAGTCATCTGAGGGAAACACCTCACTGCTGTTACATCCCTATTCCCCAGCAGTACGACTTAGCCCATACACCCCCAGCATAGTGTAAAAAACTTCTTACACAATGCCAGTAACTGCTTTTAGTCTAAACGCTATCCTAACAACCTTCCTGGCATGGTAGGACCTGCAGGAACAATAGCTCTAGCCAGTGTAGCGTGTTGGGTCATTGCGATATGCAAACCCAACCACCACGTCACGGTGGCAGCTATCGGTCGGGTGTGGAGCAATAAATTAACAGGTAACTAATTATCTTTAATAGCTAACGGAGCCTCACAAAAATGTATCTATTACTATAGACAACATTAGGTTGCCTTCTTCTTACCACTCACCTGATAACGATTTTTCGACGCACAATAATGTAGACAACATTGACCAGTTGAATTGACAACGTTGACATCAGCATTCTCATGGGATATTAAATAGGAAGCTACATTTTCTCGACCAGCAGATACAGCAATCATTAGAGGAGTCCAGTTAGACTAATGGATGAAAACGAAGAAAGAGAGGGAATGATAAGCAAGATAATGTAGACATTTTAACTAATATATTTACTCATATAAAGACACATAAAAAAGAGATAAAAGTACCGGCCTGCTTTACTCGCATTTAGTGGTAATACCAACATAAGTAATAAGTGGCTTTTTTAGTAAGCCCTGTGCCCCCTCTTAAACGACCTGGTACAGTCTAGGGTGTGTTAGACTTCGATCTTCTTCTCGAAATGCTCCCATGTGGCCAAACACGTTCACTGCTTCTCTACCAGATAAGTCCTACTCACTACCTTCATGCAGTTTATGCCGTCTTTGGCGTAGACGTGATATCCGACTGGCTAGCTGTCGACCAAAGGGCGTGTGTACTGCTCAGCAGCCCGCTTCATCCTCCTTTATGGCTGGCTGTAAGACCTGCCCATTGATAGTGGAAGAAATGAAAAGGCGGGCCAGTTGTCTTTGATCATAGGTGCCTGCATTCCATCTCCCGTGTGAAGTGGTATAATAGGGTAAGAAATATTGACGTTAGGCGTCAAGTGCTAGGTTAAGAGCGTAATCAATCGATGAGGCTATGAAGTTACATCGACTGAGATGGTCAGAACGTGAGTTACGCACGCAACCTTAGACATCGCCTTCCTCGACCCACAATTTTTGCTGACATAGTACCAGGTTGAAAAAGAGCCAGTGGTCAAACCAAAGCATGGCTTCATCAGTCAATGAAATCCACAACAGTTAGTTTAAGCTAGCCAGCCACGTAGGAAGGTATAGACTTCTGTCTGGTTGGGGTCCTCGAGACAGTAAAAACCAATGAAGGCTGGACACAATCGGTGATATGGCTCAAAATCGTTCTCAATGGCTGGCTCAGATGCATCCACTCCTTGTGACTTGTAATACCCAATAAAACTATATTGTTCTTCGATATTACTATTCTTTTTGTCTCATATCTCTGTTTACTATCTCTATTTTGCGTTTCCTTTTACTTTCTTCCCTTTCTTTGTGTGCTGAGTGAAGTGTGGCGACTCGAACTGCTGCACATCTGAAACCAGACAGACACACTTCATGCAGAGCGGGTGTTCCTCACAAAACTGAAGGGCAAATACAAGCATCTGGCGCTAACAACTAGGCTGGTGGACATACTACAGGTCTACCTAGGGAGGAGAGCTGGAAAACCCTAATTCCAAACCTATGGTGTGTAGATGGGCTCCAGAATCTGAAAGGAAGGGATGACGTGTGAACCAGTTTTGACCATCGGAAACTATGGGAACGTAGCTTCTGATACTGCTTCACTATATTGTGGGTTAGACTTCAAGTCAAGGGTTCTGGAGGTGGCTTCAGTCTGGGCGTTCGAGCATTATCCCAGCTGTTGCACAAACTATAACATTGTGTATAGAGCATCTCTTAGTGCCTATAATGCAAGTCTTTAGCTATATAACCTCGCTTAGTGTACTAGTTGAGCTTATGCCTGGGAAAAGATGGGAGATCGCGCGTGGAACGAGCAAATACCCGACCACGTGTAGTGCACCCACACCGCTGCGGCAACTTTAGAGCACAGGTAAATTAAACTTACTCTTCTCTTGAATAGATATAAAACACTATCCAGTTTACACTGTTTTAATTGTCATTCTTTCTGAAATTGTTTCGTATGCTGAGAAAATGCTTAAAATAAGCTCAGTGTACAACTATCATAAGATGTAGATGAAGCTGATCACCTAAAATTGAATACTGGACATAACATTTACTAAATTTTGACGTATAGCACCATGTGGGATGTGTAAATTACCCGAGTGACATCGACAAACTGGAACTTGGACAACTGAAGATTTTGGGGTCGTTTGCCTCAAAAAATAATAATAATTACAGCAGAGTAGACATCAAGTCACTTTTTCTATATAATTCAGAAATGTGGCTCGTCACAAAAAGGATTTCCAACAGGCCACTGCAGACTTTTAGCAACACCTTCTATACCGAAGATCAGATGACCAGCCGAGAAGGATTAGCATCAAGGAACTCCGGCACACGGAACTAACCAAGAACCTATCACCCCAAAGAATATACACAAGAGAATGGAGATGGATAGAACACAAGCTAAGGAAACCACTGAGTGACATCACACGCCAGGCTCTCGAGCAGAGCCCAAGTGGGAAACGACGAGTTGAGCATCGCTTTTAGGGTGACATGGAGGAGATGAGAGTTTGTAGGGAATCGTGGAGCCAGCTGAAGAAGACTGCAGAGAACAGGATGTCCCGGAGATCTGATGCTGAAGTAAATGGAATAATAATAATATTCGCTCATACGATATATTCTTAATCACGGTATTAAATTCCTTCTACTAACCTATTTCAATACAACTTTCGATTGCAGTGACATTGATGACTGAGGGAAACTAATAATTGAGTAATGATTGTAAACGGAGGTAAATCGCGAGCCTGAATAGCTCAGTGGTAACGTCTCTGACTGCAGCACTCACTGGGTGATGCGGGTTCGAATCTCCTCAGAAGGAGGGATATGAGTTCCTTCAAGGTTGCAAACACTCCTTGCTGACTGGTGAGTGCCAACTAGCATGAAACATAGGTGGTGTCCAAGGCTTCCTGCTGATTGCCTCCAACCATCTAATGTTATCAAACGGAATAAATCGATAGCCTTCCTTCAGTTTACAGTGAATCAACTGAACTACAAAACCCAACTGCTTATAAGGTCTTTATTTCAATACAGTCTTAGACAGCATGCCAGATGACATGTGATTAACGCTTGTCTATTTATTCGTTATCATGATACAGTCACAGTGCGAGACGAGAAGACAGGGATATTCTGGACCGACATGAGGAACCTAGAAAACCTGGATTTCGCGCGTGGATGATTTATGTTTGATGTCACACAAAATCGAAGACTTACAAGTGAAAACCGACAAACTGGTCGAAGAAGCAGCCAGAGAAGACAGGACTCCAGGTGAACATAGACAAGACCGAGGTTATGAAAATAACCAACAACAACAGCAACATCCACCGCCAATCACCATCAACGGGAGGGATTTGAAAGAGGTTACTTCATTCACTTATCTAGGGAGCATTGCCTCAACTACACGAGAAACGGATGAGGATGTCAAATCGAGAATCGGAAAGGCGAGAAACACATTCATCAACCTAAAACCAATCTGGAAATCTTCGTCACTCACCATCAACAACAAAATTCGGATTTTCAATACAAACGTCAAGTCAGTCAGTTCTTCTATACGGATCAGAAACTTGGCAGGTCACAAAGAATATATTTCCAACAGCCTGTTGCAGACCTTTATCAACAACTGTCTTCGTTCTATACTCAAGATCAGATGGCCGGGAAGAATCACCAACAAGAAACTATGGGAACAAACAAAACAAGAACCAATCGCCCAACAAATATGCAGGAGAAATTGGAGATGGATTGGACACTCGCTGAGCAGGCCACTGGGTGACATCGCACGTCAGGCCATAGCTCGAGTGGAACCCGAAAGATAAGCGGCGAGTGGGACATCCATGGGTGACATGGAGGAGATCGTGTGAAGAGGAGTTGAAACAGTATGGATTAACATGGATGCAGGTGAAAAGTACAGCAGAAGACAGAAGCAAGTGGAGACGTGTAGTTGAAGCCCTATGTTCCACTAGGAACCCAAGGGAACAATAATAATAATAATGACACACTAGCCTAACGAGTTCACATACCAATTTTAACTATACTGAATAACAGAAGAGGAGAAGATGAGAATAATCGCTCCTTTTGTTTAGTATGCACAATTTTGAATGACAGTAAGTAGGATCGATACGCATTGGAGTTATACTTTATGTGTGCATTATGTGAACTAACAGATGAACTACACAAAATTGTGCAGCTCGTGCGACGGCTGGGATACTCTGTCTGGACGCTCTGACCGAAGCAGGTGATTGTCTTGCAGGACCACCCTCTAAGCTTTCGACTTGAAGGACAAAATTTCGCACCTGAGAACTTCTATGTGTGTATATATATCAGTTCACCTGTTGCTGTGGAGCCAGGTAAATTGGTCGTTCAACGCGTATCCTCTGTAAAAGGGGTTCAAGAACACTATCCCACTGGATGGCTGCAGAAAGATAGTAGTAGCTCTATAAGGAGTGCGATTATTATAGCGATTATGACCTTGTCAACACTGGTCATTCCATCTCAACAAGCGTCTCCTTCAAAATAATCTAAAAAAGGTGGAGAATAACCTACCAGAAGCAATAAGCTTCTGTCTTCTTTACACTGCCGAAGCCTTAGTTATTCAGTTAGAAAAACCAGAGTTAGGCATACAAAAGAAAATGATTTAACCACTTCTACTATCATGGTGACAAACTTGTTGATTTTTATTGACTTGAATTTTGTTTGTTTGTTTTTCTTATTGTTCTTATTGTTTCCTTTAGTTCCTAGAGGAACATAGGGCTTCAGCCGTGCGTCTCCATTGCGTTCGGTTCCCTGCCAAGGTTTTCACCTGTCTGTGGTTGCACGTCTGCCCACATGTTTTCATCTCCTCTTCACATGATCTCCTCCAAGTCACCCTCACCCTTGCACTGACGACCAACTCGCCGCTTTCCTTTCGGGTTCCACTCGAGCGGTGGCTTTTCTAGTGATGTCATTTGATGGTTTCCTCAGAGTATGGCCAGCCAATCCATCTCCATTTCTTCCTGCCTATTTGTTTTACAATTGGTTCCTGCTGTGTTGGTTCGCTCCCAGAGATCTCTATTGCTGATCTTTTCTCGCTGGTCATCTGATCTTATGTATTATTGAGCGAAGACAACTGTTAATGAAGGTTTGTAGTTTGTTTGAGATGCTCTTTATGACGCGCAGTGCAAGTCTCTGATCCGTATAGTTGCACTGACTTCACATTGGAGTTGAAAATCCGGATCTTATTTCTCATGCTGAGTGCTGTTGACTTCCACACAGACTTGAGAGTAATGAAAGCTTGCCTTGCTTTTCCGATTCTTGCTTTGATATCCTCGTCAGTTCCGTCCGCCTGTAGTTGAAACGATGCTTCCCAGGTAGGTGGGTTAAGGAGGCTGCTTCTTTCAGATTCCTCCCATTTACACTGATTGTTGTCTGTTGTTGTTGTTGCTGCTGCTGCTGTTGGAAAGGAATCTTCATCACCTCTGTTTTCTCTATGTTCACCTGAAATCCTTATCTTTGATACTTCTTCTATCGCCAACTTGTTGCTTTTCACCACTTATCTTCCAGTTTGTGGGAAATCAGACATATATCATAGGTGAAGTCCAGATCCTCCAAGTTTTTGTGTGGGTCTGTTTTATGCCTGTTTCCTCATTGCCCGCTGTTTGTTTCATTATCCAGTCTACCGCAATCAGGAAAATCACTGGAGACAGTAGGCAGCCAGTCAGCTTTTATCACTCCCGTCTTCACTTCGAAGGATTCCGTGAGTTTCCCGTTGTGAATTACTTGGCATGCAGCATTGTCGTACAACTGTTAGATGAGATGTATAATTGTTGGCGGCACCCCTTGGTAGTAGCGAAGTAGTTGCCAAACCATCTCGATCGACGCTGCGCTATCGAAGGCGTTTTCAAAGTCAATGAAGTTGAGATAGAGAGCTGACTACCATTCCAAGCTCTTTTCAATGGTGATATGTAGTGTTGCAATTTGATTGATGCATGACTTGTTCCTTCTGAATCCAGTCTGTTTTTCTAACTCTTTATAACTCTTATATTTCTTTAGAACTCTTACATACTTCCATATTTTCCTTCGTTTCTATGTGTATCCTGATTACAACTCACTCATTACATTATTCGACACACTATTACGTAACTCTGGCACACTTATTCAACTTCTTCTATTCATCGATCTTATTATTAACAACTATGTTTGTGACAAATCCTCACTTTTGTTAATATCCCCTTTCATAAAGAAGAGGCTGTATATAAATGCGATTGTACAGTTAAAACAGAACATGAATACTTTGATTGTACACTAGTAGCTAGTGTGACGTGTCTAGTCCTCTATTTGGTGCAGACTGAATTCTATCAGTCAGTCATGTTTGCAGTGTGGCCACCATTCTAGGTAGCTCGTCATCCCGGTGCACATTGATTTGATGATATTAGATAGCTGCAGCACTGGGCGACGCGGGTTCGAATCTCCTCAGAAGGGGGGACATGAGTTCCTTCAAGGTTGCAGACACTCCTTGCTGACTACTGGTGAGTGCCAACTAGCACGAAACCTAGGTCTTGGCAAGGCTTCCTGCCGATTGCCTCCAACTATCTAATATCATCAGAACATGAATACGCCGAGAAGAGCCTCTTTGCTGAACTACATGTTTTGTTTTCATTAACGACTGAATGGGGATTGTTCACGAATTGAAGTCTGATCTGCAAGGCAGTGGATCTGCGTCGCCACAGTTTCCTGTGGACAAAACAGGCTTTTCGGATTCTGGGGGCAATATGCATCATAGGTCTAGAATCAGAGTTCTCCAGCTCCCCTAGGTAGACTTTTATGCCCAACAGTTTGGTTGTAAGCGTCAGCTGTTCGAATTCCCCCTCTCACTATTGTGAGGAACCCCTCTGCAACCTCATGAAGGCAGTGAATATGACCCCTACTTAGCGAGAGCTATGAACATATGACCATATGAAAACATTTCGAATGGAAGGCCAAAGTGTGCTCAACCATCCCTCAGCCCTACGAGGTTGTTTATGGTAGACTGATGAAACCTAAATGTTTTAAAACCAATCACAATAAATATATTAAAAAACACATCTACACAAATAGTATATCTCTTACATGATCTCTGCTGTCTTTATCAAATCCTCTGGACAAAAGAACTTTCACCAATTCTAAATGACCGCCACACGCTGCCCAGTGAAGAGGATTTCTTCCAGCCTATAATACGTAGAGAGATATAAGTAGCCAAATAGTAGAACCTGATCAACGTGTGACTTATTGCCATCGGATTCTAACAGTTTCACAACTGATGTCACTACTCCATCATAAGCAAATCGGCATACTGCTAAGTCTGACATTATTGACCATGTGTAACCTGTAAATGAGAAGTGAAATAGAATAGAAATAAAACTTATTGGACGTGCTATGGATAAGTGTTGAAAGTGGATAAAGTTGACAAAAGATACAAATCAATAAACTGACTGACTGATTGACTGGTTTCAACATAGAACTTTGCACCAATGTGCAGCAGTTCGAGTCACCACACTCCATGCAGCACACAAAGCAAGAGAAGAAGAAGAAAGTGAAAGCGAATGCAAAATTGAGACAGTAAACAGAGAATTGCGAGGCGAAAGGAATAGTAATATCGAAGAACAATATAGTTTTATTGGGTATTATAAGTCACAAGGAGTGGATGCATTTGCGCCAGCCATTGAGAACGATTTTGAGCCAGCCATATCACCAATTGTCTTCAGCCTTCATTAATGCCTACCGTCCCGAGGACACCAATCAGCCAGTCAGGAAGTCTACATCTTCCTACGTGACTGGCTTAAGCTAATTGTTGTGGATTTCAATGACTGATGATGCCATGTTTTGGTTTGACCACCACCACTAGTGTGCGTCGGTGGCATAGCGGTTAGGACGTTCGCCAACCATGCACATGGTCCGGGGTTCGACCCCCGGCTGACGCACTCCTTTACCTCGCTAAACCATAAATAATGCTGGTAAAGAGGGTAGATTGGGCATGAGGCTAGCAACTCCATCCTGTAAAAATTAAACACTGCTACAGAAACTTCAAGCCACTAGCTTGAGGCCCTATGTTCCATTAGGAACGTGAAGGAAAACAAAAAAACCACTAACTCTTTTCCAACCTGACCTTATGTCAGCTAACATTGCCCGTCACTCGAGGAAGGCGATGGCTACGGTTGCATGCATAACACATGTCCTGACTATCTCATTCGGTGTAACTTCACAGTCTCGTCGATTGATTTCCCCTCCCACCTACCTAGCACTGGACGCCTAACGTCAATATTGCTTACCCTATTATACCACTACACACGGTAGGCACCTATGATTAATAAATGCCCGGATTCACTGGTTGATTCAGTCCCAATATACAACTTTGTACACAGAAGTGCAGTTCAAGTTACCACAGTCCATACAGTACACAAACGTAGCGAAAAGAAAAATTTAAAAGATCTTAGATGAGTAAGAATAATAACACTGAGAAACATGAACGTTTAATGAGTCTGGGAGATTAAAATGAGTGAATGCATTCTGCACCATCGAGAACAATTTTCAACCATATACATATCACCAACAGTCTCAAACTATTGGTTCTTAACAACCCTGGAACTCCAACTAGGCAGTGAACAATGTCATGTGTGGCTCACACCAATTGTCGAACACTTCATGTATTGATGCCATGTTTTTGATTCGACCACCCCTAACTCTGCCTCTAACCTAATCCTGTGTCAGCTATTATTATTATTATTGGACGAGGAAGACAATGGCTGGGCATGCGCAACACGTATCATTGACTGACAACTGTTTCCCTTAGCGCGATGATCAAGTTTGTAGATTGCACAGCATTCACGAGACGATTTTAATTAGAACTATTGTTCTTCAAGGCTATTTCCTATCTTAAAGGTGGTAAGTAAGATGGGGCAGTAGTGGTATAAGAAGCAAGTACAAAGTTGAAGACATTTTATTACCCGAGACGAATTTAATACAAACAACAAAGTTCAATAAATCAGGTTATAACCAATTCATTAGATTTCAGTAGAACTCTTCAGCTGACTACTCTGCATACAGGGATATATGTGTATACATTATTAGAATTACATTGGGAGACATAAAACTGATAAGATACCAAAAATTTCGAACTACATAGTAGTGATAATAATAATGATAATAATGCCCATTAAAATTCTTCAAAAGAATGGTTACTGAACAAAGAATATTCTTTTCAATAACTTTATCGTCAGCTTCTATAGTTATTTATACATAATAGTGAATTAGTGTTATTAACACCATTAATGTTGTTTAAATAAAATCGAGTTAATAATAATATCAATGGATTACAGTTCGATAGCATTAACATAACAATACACACAATACCAGACGAATTAGGAGAGATAATAATGCGAAATTCATGAATTTATAGTCTCGTCTGAAGGCCAGGGTAGTAGTAGTGGCTGGACTTCCTTCTTTTGTACACAAAGCACTGCTTGCTTTACGTGAGTCGTGATAACCTCTGCTGATTGGAGTATGCGGTACCTCGGTGTTTTTGGCAATTTATTTGGTACCCAGTAAATGATAGAGAAGGGTTTTTCAATGCTGGCTTTGTGGACGGCCAGTTTGGACCAGATGGTCTAATATCGAACTGTTGATGGTTTTTACTACAGCTTAACTTAGCCATAGTGGGAGATATTCCCAAACACGAAAACTGAAGTTCCTATAGCAACGTAACAATAATGTTGATAACAACACTAATTTATTCACTATTACGTACATATAACTGTAGAACCTGATGATGAAGTCATCGAAAAGAACACTAATGATAGTGATAATATTAAAATGACTTAAGATAAAGGTAATGATAAAATATAGTTTAAATGACTCAGAAACAGTAATAATGGGAGGTAGAATAAAATATCAATAATAATAATAATAATAATAATAGCAGTTAACGAGTGAAACATATTACCATAGCAGATTCAGAGCGACCACCATTTCCTGTTGTACACAGAGACAAGCAGGTTTATAAAGTCTAATTCACAAGCTTCCTTAGTTGCAAGCATCTTCCTGTTTGTTTGTCTCGCCTCACTCGGCAAGCAATGTTAGCTGAATGACATAGGGTTAGGTTGGAAAAGAGCTACTAGTGGTCAGACCAAAACATGGCTTCATCAGTCAATCAAATCCATAACAGTTAGTTTAAGCCAGCCAGCCAGCGATGTATGGAAGTGTAGACTTCCTGACTGGATGGGGTCCTCGGGGTGGTAATAACCAATGAAGGCTGGAGATGATTGGTGGTATGGCTCAAAATCGTTGTCAATGGCTGGCTCAGATGCATCCAATCTTTGTGATTTATCATATCTCTTTTTTGGATCTCTTTTTGTGTGGTACATAAAGCAGCAACTCCAACTACCGCACATCTGTGCAAGGTTCTATTTTGAAACCAGTCGATCAGTAAGTCACACCGAACACTGTAAGCGCGCTCTCCAGAAACGCGTAGCTGAACTTTACCCAGTTTGATTAATAAAAGGCGGTGGGAGTATTTACCTTATTTAATCAGAGGTCATTCAACCCTACACAACTTATCCTTTAAAGTTATCTGTAAAAGGCTAAAATTCAGTCATTCTAAAAGTTCACGTTTCGTCTACTTATATGTAATTGAAGCTACCAATTACCTATCAAAGGATGTGTTGCACAATAGTTTACTCTAACTAAGTTTACAAACTGAGAAACCCCTTCAGTTTGGAAAATTGATTTGTGGTGAAGAATATGATTGAAATTGATATCTGTATTAATGATTTCTCAAAGTGATAAAGGAAATGTATAGCTTGCTTCAACTTTTGGCAAGGATGCTTGTTACTATTTCTCTTACAGCTGACCTAAAGATGCCTTCAATCTTAGGACCGTAACAGTAGGCTTACAAATTGTCTCCGTTTGTTTCCAGTACTTTGAAACAATGACATCCTACTAAAATATCCTAAATGATTCCATTAAGTATGAACCCCAAATGGATGTTTACACTCCAGGAGGTTAGGTCAACATACAGATATGCCGTTCCAGAACTCTAAAGGTTACCGTCACAATCAACTTAAGTTTCAGTGGCAATCAGATGTTTTTAAAACATATAATCTAATAAATAAATAATAATAAAAAATAAGTGAAAAATTAATAATAATAAATCTAATATATACGTAACCACTAATGTTTACTGACAACTTTCGACTCATCCAGAAGGAATGGTGTTTGAATTCTGCTTCAATTAGTTGTTATCTTAGAGAGATAGTTATTTCTAGACTACCAAATTTAAGCATTTCACTATTCTATCAAAATAGACAAACGCCTGGTGTTAATGTGCCCAATGGAAAAACGCAACTCTCCTTTATCAGGATACCTGGCTGCATGGCTTGAAGAAAACAATTTACCAGTCTATCTCCAACTACAATTCGTCCAGTATATCTCGATGTACGTGAAGACTGTGGAGTCTTTTTCAAAAGATAGTAGCTTTCATTACCATTCCATAAATTGTCAGACAATTTTAAAGATTTTTCTAAACATGTATCTAACCATAATGTAACAGTCCGAAAGCAGTTGAATTTACAAAGTTCTGAGAAAATCATGGAGACCACTACGAAATTAGTTAAAAACTGATTATACGATGACAAAGGGAGAAAGATTGATCACGGAATAAGCAGGAAGTGTGAAGATGGCAGCTAGAAAGGTAGGACAAGTACTTATTCTACGTTTTTACCCACGTCGGTAAACTCGTGCACTCATGGGGAACTGGTGGTAGTAAGTGGGAAACATAAAAGCAGAACAGAATCTTGAAATCACCCAACCTAGGTAGATCAAAAGTTCCCATATATCATGCTACTGGCTAATACCTGAAGAATAAATTTAGGATCCAAATTCAGTCGCATGATTTATGAACGTGGAAAAAGTAGGACGAAATGTAATATGTACTCCACCCAAAAAGTAATGCACGTGTTCAAACGTGCTCGTGTATGTGGGATATTTCCCACGTTTCTCAGCTATGTGGGCATATCCTGAAAAATGACATGGCTTTTTAATTACACATTCAAACGGAATCATGTGCCTCTTCACTTACTTGGTTGATTATCAGTAAAGCGACGATACTGACAGCGGATAAAAGCTAAACAGCACTGATGCGATGACTAAGTACTTGTAGGTCACTTATCTAGAATTTGATTGGTAGATTTAATTTAGCGCTAATTTTTGGTGAATGCTTGTTTCTTGTGCTATTTTCTGAAAATGCTTCTAATTGGTGCTGCTACTGATGGCTGATAAGGTGACGATTATATTAAACTGAATTTTGATAGGTTAACCATTTGCGATGACCGACCTAAGCCAAAGACCAACTAAATGCCTATGAGCAACCAATCTGACTAATATCACTGTAGAAAGGTGCAAGTATAAATAACGTACGCGAAGTGAGCTTTGTTTCTCGTCCTGATTTTGCATTTCAGTAATATCTGTATAAAGTACCTTTAGGCAATGCCAAAACGATCCACTTTTATTGGATAATGACTTCACAAATGTACAAAATTTGGTTATCTATATATGTATTCAGGATTCTGAGAGCATTTGTAGAACAGGGCTCGAGGGAAGAGCAGACCACGAAGTGGAGTAGTAAACAGTCATTTGTGTGAATTTGCTGGCCCTAAGAGAGGCCTAACCCTGACCTCCGAAGCCAAACGATAGCTCTTCTGTAAAAACGGGAGTTGCTTCTGCATAGTTTTAAGGAAGGGTTTCCGTTTAATATCCTTCAATTTTCAGAATTTTTATGAATATGGTGTTACTTACCTGGTGGTTTATTAGATTCTTTCAAATACTGTAACCTTATACTTGTGTTACTTCCCCAGAGGAATTTTCATTAATATTCGGTAGACGTTACTGGACACACTGCTGACGCATCTATTCATTTGACGCATCCACACACCGGGTGGAATTATTTCATTATTCTCTGTACTGAAGGTCAGTACTAACAACGGCAGGTCAGTCTCTCAATCGACTCTTTATGCATTTATTTGCTTTCTGGTACACGACCATATAATTTCAATGGATCATTAATCTGCATGTGTGGTATTCAGTATATGTTTGAACTTCTCACTCAAGAGACATGCGACACGACCTGACAGTGCCATAGTTGGAGCTGTCCATATATATTTTTAAGTAGTACTTACTGAATACCTGAACGTTCAATAATGGAATTTAGCATAATTCCAACCGACAGCTCCGGACGTAGCGGATTGAATTTTACAACAAAACCGAGTTATTCTGTTAAACAGATCTAACAGAATCCACGGGAATTAGAATTGCTGCCTTTTCAGCCGTATATCTTTGTGTTTCACTCTGAGCAGTATAATTGCTCTAAGGCGTGCCAATAAGTAATTATATAAGATTTAATATGTAAATCAGCACTAGTTCAGGCTACCACAAACGTAATGAATGCTAGGCTACACAGTAAGCCAACTATGGCCGAGAACCACCCGGATAATTACTTTTCCTTTTCCATAGGCGTAATTTTATTGGTTATAAGAATACAATATATTGAATTATCAGATTTCATCCACACTGGTTTGCAAAATACTTTATCTGTTGCAGCAATAGACATAGTTATTGTTTACGATCGCTAAGTCACTTTCGGTAGTCCGTGTAACATAACTGTGCTCACAGATACAATTTGGGTATCCTTAAGTTTACCTTAAATGGACCTTCATACTTCAAAGCTTGGGCAGGCAGAGACCACGTTGTGTTAGTATGTTTAAAAGACGAACTTCATATGTGTTGTGGTCATAAGTATCTAGTTGCGTAATAATTGCAAAGCGAACTTTGGCAAGGTTCGTCAGTCTGAAAAGTTCCCAATAACATTTATGTCACAAAAAGTCATCGCTCTTCGAATCTCGAAGTCTCTAAAGCAACCATAGGCGGAGAATATCATATAAATAAATAAATTTATTCTCATAGTACAGTACATGAGGGACGCCAGTTTACAGGCATCATCAAATTGTTACAGAAATAGAACGATATAATTCAATCACAATTTACAGGCAGTAGCAAGATATGCTTTACATGTTCGCTGGAGATTATACATACACTTGATAAATGTTAATCCCAGTAGTACAAAACAGTCTTTTCACTTATAGACAATCATTTCTACGCACAGTTGGAAATACCTGCTAGATCGTCAGTGAGTGCAACACATCAGGAAATACAGAAGTATTGTCTTCGCATTAACAAAAATACCAGGTCTTTGGTGGATGGATTATAAGTGCCTGGGAGAAGAATAAAGCTTGAAGTCAATATTCATACATAACTTTGTTGTGTGCAGAGTCCTCGAATTATAGTTCATTGATGTGTTATTTTGAAATCAGTGATGTGTTTATCTCATTTGATCTGCAATGTCATTGTTGGGAGTAAGTACATAAGCTTCGGACGCATTAATTAATGGATTTCTACTGATTACGGGTATTTTCTTAGCGTTAGGAAGGTTTATGAGTTTCAGCTGTTCCGACAGGAGTTGAGAATATTAACTGCTCAGCAGCATTATGGGTATAAGTTCATCACATTATCTAAGGAAAGGTGGGTTGCAGTTGGTGAGGGATATATGGTACCCAACGAGCGTTCATCTGTCCTTGTGATGTTGTGGTGAGTTATACCTTTTTCATGTTGTCGGTTTATGTCCATTTTATTCCACTTATTGTGTTGGGTAGTAGTTTTACAAACGAGATTTCTTGTCTGTTTGAGGATACGTATCTTAACCGTTAATGTTTTATCTAGAATTATAAATAAATATAGGCAAAAACAACAGGTGTAGTATTTAAGCTTATACATTAAATGGACCTATAATTTCGGAGGCTCTCAGATAGGAACTAGAACTAATATCGTTTGCAAACTCTTGTAGTTTGTCATTAAGCACCTTTTTGAAGGAGGCCAATGTACTTGCTTGACGCATTTCCATTGGCAGTTTATTCCATATCTGTGCATACCTAATCAAGTAAAACTTTTGCCTGGTGGCTGTTTTACATTGTTCGATAGCTACTGTACCCTTAGTGTGTCTTAGTTTGTAACCATTGTCATCCGAAAGTCGAGTGCCATTAGTAGAGGTAAAAACTAAGTGGTTTAGAAGCTTATAGTAAAGTGTCAAGTTTAGTCTCAGGCGTCTTAGCCATAGTGTTTCTAGTCCTAGGGTATCACATCTAGTGGAGTAGTTCGTACCATTTCCGGTTCCGAGTAATTTTAACGTGAAGTACCTCTGCACTCCCTCGACTTTCAATTTGTCCTCTATGCGTATGCTACTATACATGAATGAACAGTAATCAAATAAAGGACGCACACAAACCTTGTACAACAGAATTCTAGACTCATTTCTGTAGAAGTTCCTGAGTAGAAAGCCGATAAGTCTGCGTGACTTTGACACTTGTTTGGAGATGTGTTCAGAAAATGATAAGTTATGTGAATATTTCAGCCCTAGGTCCAGTACAGATTCCAGTCGTTGAAGTGCATGGCCTTGAATTGTCAGGTCAAGTTCTAAATTGTTGCAACCTATGCAGAGCCAGCCACATTTTTCGACATTAAATTGGAGTTGCCAGGTGTCACACCATCTATCCATTTTTTCTAATTCTTGCTGTATGGCGTTTACTGTTATTCCAAGATCTGTGTTCTTGCATTTATACGTCACTTTTAAGTCATCTGCATATAGTATTGGTTTACCTACACTAAAGCATTCACAGATACTGTTTATATATATTATGAATAAGAGTGGGCCTAATACACTTCCCTGGATTACACCACTACTTACTGGTTTAGGCCTTGAGATTATGGAGCCAACTTTCGTTGTCTGACTTCGGCCACAGAGAAATGATTTTATCCAGCTCAGGAGAGGATCACATATCCCTAGTGAGCATAACCTGCTGACTAGCAGAGTATGGGGAACTCTGTCGAAGGCTTTTGTTATATCGAAATAGAGCACAATTACTAGTTCTCTTTGGTCCCTACTTCGTGTAACTTCATTGAAAAAGTCTATGTGACAGGTCACGCATGATCTCTTTTTGAGAAATCCGTGTTGTGATGGATCGATAAGTTCATGTTCTAGTAAGTTGTCTGACACTTGGTCTTTAACCACTTTCTCCATTATTCGGGATATTACCGGTGTTATATTGATAGGTCTATAGTTGCATACACTGGTTTTGGCCCCTGCTTTGTGCTTAGGTAATATGTATGTGGTTTTCCACACTTCAGGATAAGTTCCAGTTTCTAATGAGAGAGTAAATATTCTATAATATTCGGTAATATTACCCAGAATAATAAAAAAGTGAGACACTAACTGAGTAACGAAAACTACACAAACTACCAAATTAAAAATAGTTCACTGAAGCAACAATGTCAGAGTCACGCGAAAACAAGAAGAGAAGATGCACCATTGACAAGAGAAATATTTACTGTTTCGAACGTCAGTCACAACAGTAGAGACAGATACTGAACATTTGGGTCATATATGATCACGACAAACACTAACCTGATTGACTGGTCCACACTCTCTCTCTGTATGAATGGCTTGGGTTGAGGTTTACTAATGACATCAGTGGCTTCTGCGAACTGAAGTAACCATGCTTTTCTTTATCTATTGATTATTTTCAAAGCCCGACTAATATCTATCTTAAATCTTATGTCAATTAGGTTTCTGGAGATTGTGCTTGAGAACTTTTTGCTGCTTTTTAAGTAGAGATTTCTAGAGATATGCTCAAAGAATCTAGTTGACGCTCTCCTCTCAGTCCTTCCTATGTACTTTCTGTTGCAACTGCAGGTGAATTGGCAAATGCAGCTGGAGCTGACATGAGCGGGATACTTATCTACTTCTGACTAAGTTAACGAGCATACTTCGTTGCAAAATGGAATTAATCCAGCGGGGGGAAATGTTCTTTTCAATGCACCTTTAATTCCGTTTACCATTCTTGTGGGTACTTCTTAGCCTTTCTACACTAGACAGAGAAACGCTGGTTTCTTCTAAACTATTTCGGGTTTCGGTCTAGGTGGTTTTTCCTTCCCATATTTTTCTGTGAACTCCCAAGCGTGTCCATTTTCGACAAGGTTCTTCTTAATGACTTCGAGTTCCTTTTCGGTCTCATCTTTTGAACACAATACCCTAGCTCTTCCGAAGAGCGTCTTCAACAGGCTGTTTGTACCTGTCGGGCAGAAACTGTGATAACTCAAGTGTTTTCCAGTGCAGGTTTCTTTCGTGTAGATGAATTTTTCAATTGTGCCATCATTTCTTCTTTTTATGTTGAGATTCAGGAAGTCAAACTGATTGTCATGTTCGCGCTGTATTGTAAATGCTATTTGACAGTGATCCGCACTAATGTTTTGGGATGCGTGACCCATATTGTCGCAAACTGCAACCGTGTCATCAACATGGCTGCAATAAGAGGTGGTCTGCTCTGTTTCTTGCTTCATTCATGCCTGTTCAAGATGATCCATAAATATGTCCTCAAGGACAGGATCCAAAGGTGAACCCATAGCCACCCTGTCAATTTGCCGGTACATCTGGTTGTTGAATCAGGACTGGACGTTCTTTGTACAAAGTGGTGATTTCCGTAGCTCCTTTTCAGGTAGAGGAAGTAATTTGGATGTGCTGGGTGTGTTGGTTAACAAAGAACAAACATCGTATGATACGAGAAGCGTGTCTGATATGTTCAGTTGGTTTGATTCTTGTAAGAATTGGAAAAAACCCTTGATACTGCGGACTGCCAACTTTTATCAATATCGGTTCTAACTTTTGTGGCAACCACTTAGCCAATTCATGGAGTGGCGATTTCACCACTGACATCATATGTCTCAAAGGCACATCAGGTTTGTGGATTTCGGGTTGATTATACATGAGTGGTAGGCGTGAACCCCTTGCTTTGAGGTCATTACAGGTGTTGCTGTGGATTAGTCCCCCTTCAGGTTAAATTACTTTATCTATTTTATTATTTAACTCCACTATTCACCTTCACCCACCTGAATTCCCCACCATAATAAGAATAAATTCACTCTGTTGTTCTATTCTGTCTTTAGTCCATCTTCGTTTGCAAGAGAAATCTGAATTCCACCCCCTTGTCTAATAGCTATATAAATAGCTACTTCTTTAACAATAAACAGTTGTCTACTTATATCATCGCGTGAAGTCGCTTTGCTTATAGTTTCTTTCTATCTATAACTTGAAATCATTGTAAAAAGTGTGTTCAGAAATTTCGCAACACATAACCGATTTATTTAGCATGTATGCACTTAAAAAGAATCCATGAAATAGGACGAGATCGTATTATCCTGCAAGTATGTTCATTCTCTCCCTGTTAAAAACTCAAAGAGTCTTCATCGACGACCTAACTACATGGGCTTACAGAACATCACGAAATCCAGTAGATGAAGTTTCTGTGATCGGTGTATAATGTTCAAGTACTGACTGTGAAATGGGGGAGTTGCGTAAAGCTGGTAAAAAGGCTCCTTAGCTCAACCATCCCTCGCACTCCCCCCAAATGTTATTGAAAGTCCTTTTAGCAGGGCTGTTCATGTGGTCGTTCAAAATCTAAACCACAAACATCCATGAGCTCACATAGGTGCTCGCATCGTAGTGTGGTGAGAACTGGCTGCCAGCCAAATTGGTGGACAGTAATTTATATCAATTTTTACGTCCTCAATATTGGTCGTGAGGAAAATATAAACAAGGACTGATTCAACAACCAACCACAGCAGACTTTGCGTAGGCGGATACAGTTAGCATATAGATGATCTGACATTCAGGAAACAGCCGCAAAGAGATGAAAGATTAACTTTCAGAGAGAAACAACCAATAAGAGAACTGTTTTTTTCTGCCAACAATAATCTGTAGTAATGTACATGAAAAGCTATAAACATGCGTTGATTTCCTTAATAAACGATCTGTTGTCTGACCCCTGTCTTCGGTTGTTACAGTAGGACCTGTAGTGTTGCCCTAACTTCCGCAGTTTAACAGGGATACAAAGACTATGGGAAACTACATTGGTTCGTATTTGACCGTGCCAGTTTAATCCCACCATTGACGGAAGTAACTGGTGCAAAAGCCTTGACACTTTCGCGACGGACGCCCGACCAAAGACGGAAAAGCCACCTCATTAATTTATGAAGATCAAACTGCAACTTTAAGTATCTCATCTGATTCATTTCACACTGAAATCAGAGCAGTTTCATAATGACTGGTTGGCAATCACCGAAAACCACTTGCCTTTTTCTCAAGGCGGCTAAAGATTATGATAACAAACTAGAGAATAATTCAAAGGATGTATAGAACTTGGAAGGGATGTGCAATTATAGGAATAGCAGGCAAATCCAATAAAATAAAAACGTTACGCGACACTGTGTGAAATTTGATAACATAAAATAGATAAAATAGAATTGATTCAGAATGACAAGTAGAACCAGTGAAATAATACCGGGCACAGTTCAAAGTGAGAATAGTAATAGTAACTATTGACGTAATAATGTGGAGAATACAAACCAAATAGACGGAACGAAAAAATTGGCAGAGTCAAAATATGATTGGGGATTACCATACTTTTGCATAGAGGGATTAAGACCACGAAAGTTGGAGGGGAGGGGTTGAACGAGATCTGTTCTGTTTCGATGGCCAAAGCTTCAGCAATACAGATGAGTCGGGTACGTAGGGATTTAGGTAAATTACTTTTTACCCTGAAGATGACTTTAAAGGAGGAGGCTGTAGAAACACAGGGTGATCATTATCGACCAGATGTTCAATGATCGCGCTTCTTATTACTCCACTTCCACCTGTTCCTAACCATTCAGGATGGTGTTCTTGCACCCTCTTGGACAAAACTCGAGTCGAACGACCGATACACCTAACTCCACATGAGCAGGTGAATTGATAAACACACATAGAGTTGGTCAACAGCGAAATCTTGTCCTTCAGGTTATTGAACAGTAGTGGTCGACTAGTAAAGGCTATTCTCAGAGATGCAGCAGGGAATGTTCTTTTCAGGGACTGTGATATCCTTCGTTTCATGATTTCGGAAGCTAAGTCCCCTTTGAATTCCAAGCTCATGTACAGTATTTTCTTGAGTATGGATGATAAGTCACATTTATAGTATTTGAATATATATTCTTATATATAAAGTGTGGTGTAAATCCATTTTCTATTAGGAATTTTCCTCAAAATCCAATCAAGCCCGTTTTCTCAAGCTGCAGTTCACAAATGTTCCTATTGGTCTGTATTTTTAAGCGTCTTCTCATATTTGTATCAGTCATGGCTCTGTTAGTTGTCCACTGTAAACTCCTTCATATAAAGTCAGGTAACCTAGACACCAATTCTTTGTTTCACACAAATTTTTAACAGAGACCGAGGTGGTGTGAACATTCTAAAACTGGCGTACTTGGGAGGCAGCCGTATGACCTTGGAGACAGTCTTTCAGAATCGCACCCGAACCTGGCATCGTGATATCAGCAAAAGTCTTTAACGAGACTCGGAGGGGGACACGTTCTAAATGGACAACGAGGCTCTCAAAGCATATCCGTACTTACATAATGGTGTAGGACGAACCTGCCACACATTTTCGATAGTAATCCACGGCTCTTTATTCTATAAATATAAATTACTTCTCCCTGCATCCCGCTTCATGAATTGAATGCTATTTGTGACTTTGCGTGTGCTGTGCCAACTTCTTTAAGAGAATGATGTTTGCTCAATGTTTCCCCTTTTGTACACATTTTGCAAACATGTTTGATTTCATCTGAAGTTATCGATAAATTTTCTACGATTTCTCAGCATTTTCGTTTTCTGTCCTAGGTGGGATGAGCACCAGAGAAGGAGTAGGTGGAGTGCGAGAGTCAACAGACAAATATTTGATGAATGTTTGTACATGCATTCCACCAGCATCGGTAGACTGCCTGGAGGCCACTCACTGCCGCTGCGCTACACAACTTGATCCTGTAGTATGTTTTGTATTTCGGGAGATCAATATGTCGCTTTGATTGGCTTAGGAACAGTTATGTAGGAGAACTACCGTAATTTTGGGGGGACGTACGCTCTCGTTTGCATGCCGTTATTGCAGAGGATCAGGGTAGTTTGGCAAATCAGTTGAACCTCAGACGCTTCACTTTCGACAGTCAGCCCTGCATGATCACGACTAGTTATGCCCACTATTAACTCCCCTTAAAACCACATCGGACGACTAACCAGTGAAAGTATTAGTTCCACTCAATGTATTTACGTCGTTGACAGTTTTTTTGTGGATAATGTTAGGATAACTTGTCGGGATATTGTACAACCATGCCACTGATTATTTATAAACTCGAAAACTGAAGTATCAATTGCCTAAGCAAACACCAAAATGTTATCACCTAGTTTTCTTTAAATGTATAAACTTCGCAGGTCAATTTAGGAGGTTTCAGTCGCTTGTTTCAAATCGAGTTTTAATAACCGTTTGTATTTCACGCTTATTGATCAGAAAGATATATTATAGGACTTTTAATTATACACACAGATGAAAAGCATTCTGAAAAATAAAAGCACGAATAGTAAGTCAATGACTTCTTTAAACTTGAAAACATGTTATTTGTTAATACAGATATTTTGTATGCCTTTTACTTTCGTATGTACCAATTAAATGGTTACTTATCGATATTCAGTTTTTGTAAATGTCATTTTGTGTAGGTGAGAGTAGAATTTGTGCAACAACCATTTTTTCGATGTCTCTCTATTAAGCATTGTTGCGTTTACACTATGTCAGCTCTAGGTATTATGAGTTATCCATCACAGTAGTATTTCTGTTCTGTATTTAGTATTTTAAACGTACTCCTTGAAGACTTGGAATCCCCTGAGTATGCTTTGGAAATTGTGAAGTATTTTGAGTTTTAGGAGTAATAAACAACACACCTCGGAGAGTACTTGGACTTCTCTACCTAACCGTGATAATAATTACTAAACACACGAATATTTAATTTGTCTTCCTTCACAGTAAGAAATCAGGTTCATCTAGGTTTATTAAAACTGGGTTTTTTATGGTTTATGTTGAAATCGCTGTAAAATATTTAGGATTTCTGAATAAAACTGTTTGAAAATTCGGCCAATTTTGATTTTTTTAAATCTGTAATTTGTAATGCTTTATTGTGGCTTAAGTTCTTTTAAAAAACTGATTTCATGAGAATCGTGTATGAAGTCTTTTGCTCATTAGAGTGCAATATGCATTGAAATAAAGAACCCTGAGATGGAAACCTAAATTGATGCTTTTTATCAGGTTGTATTTTCATAATCTTCTTGTTTCTACTTGCTTACTCCTTATGATGATAGCTTTAGGGTTTATGCCAAACGTGCTCTGCTCTGTGTGTGATCATAGGATCAAAATATTAATACTAGAAACACTGATTTCGTCCAAACCCCATGTAGTCTGGGTTCGGATTCCGATGGACACCATCATAAGCCTAACCTAGTCTACTAGAAAGGGAGAAAGTCCAGAGAGGAATGAAGTTTAGGTGTGAGGCTAGCAAACTGGTGACGTATAAGCAACACCACCGTTATTGCAACTTCAAAATTTGAAGCCCTGCTTTTCACCAGGTACACAGTGAGTGTTTTTAATTGGTTATCCTGCAGTTTTTTGATCATCGCTCAGAGTGATTTTCTGTGTTCAGAATTGTGACTGATCAAATAAAAATGAAGTCATTACACCAGCTGACATCAGCGAAATGGAAGCTACAAGAAAATAGGCAAAGAAAAAAGACAGATGTTTACTAATATGGCAAGAAATTGCATAGCATTCACATCAATAGCCAACTTTGTAAAGTGGAATTTACTGTGAGTTTGGTTACCACTAAATTTTTCAGCAAAATCCTGCTGAAGTTAACAGATTGAGTGGCGCTAAAAGTTGACCCACAATGCGCAACACACCATTTCTATCTACATAAGTAAATATTCATAATTCTCCCCAGTTACGGAATGCTCATACGTATAGTGGGTAAAACTTAAACAAATGTGGGTAGGTGACATTGAAACCCACTTTTCTCAGATTTCTCACGATTCCATCCCGTTTCCTCAGTTTTTATCAAGTTCCTAGCGAACTAATTCCTCACCTTTTCACACTAATACCACACGTTGTACACGGTTTCTGTCACGTGCTCCCCATCCCAGTTCATAAAATACCTCGCTTATGTCCCCTTTGATGACCTTTTAAAACGAAATGGATAGCTTTTGTTAGCCCACGATTTGGAAAAATTAGTTTGTGAAAAGTTTTACTTTATTCGATGTGAGTTTATAAATTTTGGATTGTAGACACGCGTGGCTCGATAGAGTCACCATTAAACCTTAAGTTATACTTTTGCAAATCCTCCACACACAATAGTTATCAAACCGTAAATCATATAGTTCGAAACTAGCTCAAAACACGTAAAAATTATAACAATGCCTATTTATTTCTTGCATTCTGATTAGGAAATCAGGCCTCAGAGACATACCTCCATTGCACGTAGTCCTTTGCTATCACTTTCAGCTAGCTCGGCAACTATCTACAAGCATTCAATTCCTCCTCACGGTATTTTCTCAAGGTCACCGTTGGGCTTATGCTTAACTCGTTCCTTACCATTCGGGTCCCACTCGAGGGCACGGTGTGTGATGTCACCTAACAGATAATGATTATGCGTAATTAAAGTGACCCACGCAGTTTAATGATTCATTTTGTCATACTAATGAAGCATTGGAGTTTCCCCTAAACCTAACTGTCTTTGAACGCCTTAATGAATCTATTATTTATCTTGTTGTGTCTTGCTGATATCTTCAATACAACCTTACCAGCATTGTTAAGGATGAATAAGAAAGGCTTCATCTAATGTAGGTCAAAAAGTCATGACTTATAAGTGACCTCGAAGTAATTCCTAAGATAAGGAAGAGATATCAGTGCATTTGACTCAATTAAAATTAATTAAATTTTTCCATAACTTCAATGGTTTAAGAGCTGGATAACAAGCAAAGGAGAGCGGAGTGTTTCCTCGGAATAAACGATTGTTTAAGCTACAATAGTCACGTAGAACACTGCGGTTATGGTTTCAGCGTGCATGCTTCGTCAAATCTTTTGCTGTTGGAAATTCTGCAAAAAAGGGTTTACACAAGTTTCTAGTTTTACGTTAAAAGGTTGGTGACTGAGCTCTTTGACCACAGTTGTACTGTTATCTCAGATTAAGTACCGTTGGGGGAGGGCTCTGTTTGGTGCTCTGCATTCTGTGTCGTAGAATAAGTGTATTATGCAGTCGTCTTCCCTTTCCTGCTTTACAACTACTAGATGTCTCCGTTACAGGTGTGTGTTTGTTGACACTGGTTACGAATTCTTTTATGACTGTAGGCAGTGTCATGTGATCTAGAGTAACCGGTCGATGAATGTGTGAATTTTCACTCACTGTATTGATTCATGTGTTCAATGTATAAAATCTTGAAGTACGACCTTTTTAACATTCCGATATGTTTTCATGTTTTTTTAATGCTTTTTCAGTGCTTGCTATATCACACTAACTAAAATGACAAGTGTATATATTTTTTCATCAAAATTCTTCCGACTTTTATGTCACGTGTTTTGACATTGTAATACTTTAACGGTAGAACACGGTGGTGTTTGCTGACAGGATCGTTTTTCGTTTTGTGTTTTTGAGTTTGTTTGTAGGGAGGGATTTGATTTGTTATACAAGTTTGATTAAGGATTATGACATTATCAGTTAGAGGAACACTGAAAATCAATGAGTGAGTGCTGGATAACTGTTTCGTTAGCCTAGTTTGAGACACATCAGCACCCACTGGGTTCTGAATCCAGGACCTTCCAGGTCGGGTACCAGTGGCTGAATGGTTTACGACCTGATCTTTTAACCGGAAGGTTGGGGGTTCAAACCCCTCAGCATGGGTGCTTATGGCCGACGGACGAAACAGCTGTACAGTACTCCATACTGGTTTTCCAATGGTTCTCCAACTGATGTCAGCTCATGATAAAATCTTGTAACTAATAAAATCAAATCCCTGCAATATATCATTATTTCATTCACTGAAAACTCTTCCCTTACTTTATAATGTTGGAATTGAAAACATGTCGTCGTCTGTCTATTGACAGTCACTGTTCTCTTCATAATCTATTGCCTACACATTTGTATGTTTTTCAAGTGTTAAGTGATAGGCGATGCTTGGCTGTAAAGGGAATGCCAAGAAAATACATTGCACTGATTAAGGCACTCTACTCGTACTCATGCAGCCAGGTGAGGGCTTATGGCGAATTGTTATCTGAAGTGGTGACGACTAGTGGCGTCCGTCAAGGATGCCCATTATCCCCATTTCTATTCAACTTCATCATAGACGTACTAATGGACTTAACCCCAACACAATTCAGCGACTCAGGGATTGACTTGCTACCAGGGAATAATCTCGTTGACTTAGAATATGCAGACGATATAGTCCTTCTAGGCGAGGACGCTGACAAAATGCAGAGTCTTCTGAACACCTTGAGCTGCAATCTTCGTATGTTTGGCATGTGATTCGCCCCTGTAAAATGTAAAATGATGTTGCAGGATTGAACTACACCGACCCCTAGATTAGAAATAGGAAGTGAAGTGATAGAGCACGTTGACCGCTTCACTCACTTGGGAAGTACCATCAGCCCATCTCTGACGAAATCTCAGCACGAATATAGAGAGCTAGTTTCGCATATGCCAGTTTACGCCGTTTCTCACGTGATATCCGACTGACTGGCTATCGACCAAAGGGCGTGTGTACTGCTCATCATTCCGCTCTGTCCTTCTTTATGGCTGTGATACATGGCCATTGAGAGCGGAAGACATTAAAAGACTAGCTGTCTTTGATCATAGGTGTCTGCGTTCTATCTCCCGTGTGAAGTGGTATAATAAGGTGAGCAATACTGAGGTTAGGCCATCGGTCGAGTGCTAGGTAAGGCGGGGAAACCAGTCGACGAGACTGTGAAATTACATCGACTGAGATGGCTGGGACATGTGTTACGTATGCCTAGTCATCGCCTTCCTCGACAATGGGCAATGTTAGCTGATATAGGGCCAGACTGGAAAAGAGCTATCGGCGGTCAAACGAAAACATGGCCTCATCAGTCAATGAAATCAACAACAGTTAGTCTAAGCCAGCCACGTAGGAAGGTGTAGACTTCCTGACTGGCTGGTTGGAGTCCTCGGGACGGTAAAAACCAATGGTTGGAAACAATTGGTGACATGGCTCAAAATCGTTCTCAATCGCTGGTGCAGATGCATCCACTCCTTGTGACTTATGATTTACAATTAAACTGTTTTGTTCTTCGTTATTACTATTCCTTTGTCTCACACCTCTGTTTACTATCTCTAATATGCATTTCTCCTACTTTCTTCTCTTGCTTTATGTGCTACATGTAGTGTGGCGACTTGAACTGTCGCACATATGTGCAAAGTTCTATGTCGAAAACCGACCTACCGAAGTGATAGGGATCTGATTGGTTCCACATTTGATCAGAGATCAATATCAGTCTGGGATACTTCAACAATACTCATCCATGACC